CATCTGAACCATGAAGAGACGCCACGAGGCTTCTGTCAGGTTATCGGAGGTCTGATCTTTTCCTCGGACCGCCGACCTATCTTGCCCCCTACCGGAGAGATCATCTTCAGGGACACATGTTCTAAACTTGGAAAAGTGATACATCTTTGCGCCAAACTTCTACAAAAAACGGGGGATCATTTTGTGGCAAACTGTGAAATTGAAACGTTGGCTCCTGATCGGAGGTGGACCCGGCAGTGAGTTCCCCACAGACATCTGTCCCCGCCATCTGTACACAGTCAGATTCCCTCACAGCCACACCAGTCTCACCACCACCACGACACACACGAGAAATTTAAAAGAAAGGAGCAGGCTACGTTTCCGTGTGTGTAACTTTGAACAGATTCTCGTTATCTCGATCTCACAACAACAACAACAACAACAACAACAACAACAACAACAACAACAACAACAACAACAACAACAACAACAACAACAACAACAACAACAACAAATATCAGCGATTGGCCTGCCTGTCCTGTGATGTTGGAGACAAACGTTCAACATTTTCTTGGCCTTTCGTGACCCCTCCCTGTGTGTGTCTGTGTGTGTGTGTGTGTCTGTGAGTGTGTGTGCACAATATCTCACAGAGACGTCGTACAACTGCGGTGTTTTGCAACGTTCCAGGACATTTGACGTCACAGATCCCTGAACAGCGCACGCGGGGAGATAAACAAGCAAAACAAGCTTCCCTCTCCCAAAGACGTCAGTCCTACTTTTGGCACAGAGAACAACACGCTCTCTCGTCATCAGACATACATCTTGTTGTGAGAGACATACATCTTTGTGTGAGAAACCCAGGGATTTCTTCCATAGCGTGAGCCAACTCTTTCTTCATCTCTGGGAGCAGTCGTTAGTGCCATCCCACAACTCGCACTCAACGACCACACACACACACAATCTGTGCGACCGTTACATCACCCCTACACGTCATTACATTCCTCACGACTCACGGAATAAACGCATCCAAAACTCCTGCCATAGGAGCAGGACACAATTTTCTCTAGAACTACCATCCAACCCTGTCACGTTCTCCAATATCTTGGCATCTCCCAGAATTTCTCAACATCTCCAAGAACCTCCTACAACTGTATAGAGATATTCAGAATCTTCTAGAAAGGATCAGTCTTCGAACATCCATCACCAGAAAACATTAGATTCCAAGTGTGGAATTAAGAAAGGATTTTTTTTTTATTTCAAAAGTGAAGAAATATTTCTTTCTGGGCTGGGATAAGAACCAAGCTAACAAATAAACAAACAAACAAACAAACAAACAAACAAACAAACAAACAAACAAACAAACTTATTGGCTTCTCTGCTCCCAGTACGTCGACGCCCCTCACTCACTGTGCCGTCAGGTACATAAACAATTCCCTCTCACCTGGACACACCCAGAGCCTGGTTGACTCACCCTCCCCCCTCACACCTGACCTCCAGTACCACACCTCACCACCTCCTCTCACCTCGACCCTGGTTGACTCACCTCACCTCCCCCACCATGTCGGCCAACACGACCCTCCGACTGACCCCTAGCCCGGCCTTGACCTTGGCCAGCACGAGCGCCCCCGACGAGGACGAGCTGACCGACGGTATGAGTCAGAATCAGCTGATCGCGGTCATGGCCATGCTCATCGTCTTCAGCATCTTCGGCACGCTCGGCAATGGGCTTGTGCTCTATGTCTTCACCAGGAAGAGTGAGAACGTAAGCTTGTATCTTATACATTTACCTCTCTCTCTCTCTCTCTCTCTCTCTCTCTCTCTCTCTCT